ACGCCAGTGCGCAAAGCGAGTGCTCTGACTAAGTGAATCGAGCCCAAAACCCCTATTAGTGAAAACGGATACGACAAGGAAGGACCTGGGCAAGACAAAGGTCTTCTTGAAGTAACGCATTTGTCATACTTGCTAAGTGCAAGTTTAAGAAGGTTGTGCTGTGCGAATTGGTGAATTCAAGTACCTTGGTGGCAAGTTAACGCGGTTTAACGAAATTGGAATTGAAAATGGAAGATGAAAATTACCTGGTGACGTTAGTGAAGTATATTGTGGAAACAGTGGTACGAGAAGTAACGAAAAGCTTGAAGACTTCTCAAAAGAAAAGGCATATGTCTCGCTTGTGTTATGTGTGTCGACGTAAAGGGCACATGGCTCATTCGTGTCCGTTGAAAGATCAAGGTCATGATCGAAGTTTGAATAATAAGTTGATGGAAGTACGTCGTGTTGATGTTGGTGAAAAGAAGTGTAATGAACGAAGAGAAGAAAAATTTAAGGACAATGATAAAATGGTACGAAAAATGGTAAAAATTAATGGAGAATTTGCAGAAACATTAATTAGAGTTAGTTCGAATGTGAATAAAATAAGTGTAAAGTATGCTAAAAGAGTTGGATTTACCTGGAAACGTCTGAATAAGAGAAACAATAGTCGTATGGATGATGGTTGTATTGGATTTATTCATGGTGTTGAAGTTGTCGTTAACGATGCGAAGTTTGTTCAAAAATTCCATGTAATGAAAGATTTGTCTGTTGATGTGGTTCTTGGAAAGCCGTGGTTTGCAGCATTGAGGTATAGATGTGAATCGAAGAAGAATGGTGATAATAATGTTGATTCTGTAAGAATAGAGAATGGAAACGTTAGTATAATGAATGAAAAGAACATATGTAGAAAAGGACCCGAAAAAGAATACGTGCCTGATATTCATATGGTGAATAAAGAAGACCCAAATCGTGAGTTCTATGACGTGGTGGATGTTAGATGTATGGATTGTGATGAATCGAATCGAGTGAATGAGTACATACCTGTAGTGTCTAATGATGATAAAACGAAGGGTAAAATCGTGAGAAGTAAAAGCGATGAAAATAAGGCATTCGATTGTTATTGTAAATCAGCTGAGATGAATCATGTGGAAAGAACATATAATGCTGATGAAGCATTTATTGTTGGTCATTGCTATGATATGGGTCACGTTGATAAAATGTATAATCTTGATTATTGTTACGAAAAGGGAATTGATGTTGAGACGGATGAACGTGAAGCATTCATTCCTTGTCAAAAATCTGCAAATACAAATGATGCTAATGAAGCATCTATAATTGGACATTGTTATCATCATGAAGTTGGAATTGAAAAGAATGAACATAAGACACTCGTTAATTATCAGAAATCTGAAGAAATGGGAATTTTTGATGAGATCAACGATCTTGAATGTAGTAACGAAGAGAGAATTTGTGATGAAAAGGATGAACATAAGA